GATAATTCAATAATAAATAATACTTTAAAATATACTAGTCAGATCAACATTCTTTTATGGTCCATAGTTGTGACTCTAACATATTTTACAAGTATATTTAACAATGTAAGTGAGAATGGGCATCCGACTCAGTAGGTTGTAGTATAAACGTGACTAAAATAAGATATTATCATAGTAGGTACATTTTTCAATTCAAATTCATATAAAGTAAGTAATAATCTTTCGCAATTCAACTCCGATAAATTTCTTGTTGGCAAATCATGCGACAATATGTTGTAACATGATTATGATTCGATAACGTCTTGCAAATCAACACATTGTATAAATAGTAGGTATGTACAAGCTATATTACATATGTATATATATGAATCATTAAAATGCTCGTAGACGGAGACTACATACTTTGCTAAAATATAGAATATGCCACTAGATATTTATAAAAAACAAATCAATATGTAGTTACTCTGCGATTTGTAAAGAGGGTCGAGGAGCACAATGAGTTTTCTGGTGACTAGAGTTTACCAAATAACAGTGGAACTTCATAAAAGCAGCAGTTTTTGGTACGTAACTGATTAGTCAAAGATGGTAATTTGTCAGTAGATTTTCAATCCTGTGTAAGAAAATGTTTCTAATTCTATCTCCAAACACTGACGGAACATGGTAACAGAACCGAGTATCAACGACATAATTATCTTTATCCAACCCTATTTAATTACTATACTTCATTAATTGTCTCATAAAATCTATGTTATTGTAGTCAAATAGAATATAGTAAGTAAAACAGTTCGAAAGTAAATAAACAATTACTATCAGCGATTTTATTTACTACGATTATAAAATAAGTCAGAAATCGGCGCGGGCACACGGAGGTCGTCGCGGTGAACGGCGTGAGACAATGCGAGGCGTTTGTTGTGAAACTTGCGCAGTTTGCACAACATCTCAAGTCTCAATATGCTCTAGCCCTAGCCTCTTCTACTCAACGAACTTACCGAGTACTATTACAGTAGTAACAATTATGCTGGCCATAACCGACATTAATGTGGTTTAATTTAAGACCTTACATAAAGAGGGGAGAGGGTATGACCCCAACGAAGAGGTTTGAATTGTGTAACAAGAGATGAGAGGAGTCCTACTTTTAGCAAATGTCACATTCTAAACTCTCGCATCTAAGGAAAACACGGAATTTAGTAATATTAACCATAAACTTTTAAAAATATAACCATAACACTTTTGCAAAATAATACATATTTAGCACTCACGTCACACTAGAAAATATAGTTTTATAAATAAGACCAGCTGTGACAACTCCATGCCCAATTTTTGGCCATAGGATAACCTAATTTGTAAATGCCCTCTTACCAATATAAGTTTAGGTATCACAAATCTACTAAATAGTTTATCTAGCTAATATTAAAGACAACATTAGAGGTGCAATCAAAGTGCTGTAGAGACACGAAACTATTCTTCGATTATGTAATAACTCTACAGAGTAGTACGTATGTACTATGTGGTAGTTGAGAGGCTTAATTATATAGCTGACAATTATTACTTCAAATAGATTAAAATCTATTACTATTTGAAATCATGTACGACCCATTTCACAGTTCCACATGATAACCGGGTAACTTAGCTTGCATCTGCAAATCACAAAATATGTTCTATAGAAAATTCCAAACTCAACTTCATAAATTAGATTAGATGATTTTTGCATGTACCGCATATTCTATCACTAATTGTATAAGGACATATAATATATATTACGAATAAATGGCTCTTACACAACTTAGAATAAGAATTGTTATCATTGACATTACCCTCGTAATAGTGTTTGGTCGTGTACTTTAAAAGCTGCAATTTTATTAAGGGAGTTACCAATGTTATCGCTAAAACAATGTTTTAGTGGTAACAAAGCGGTGCCGCGGTGTACTAGACCACTAGACCACCGAGGTCGTCATAAGGGCTATTTGGGGTGCCCCATGCACTCGCCCCCCCCCCCCCCTTTTTTCTTTCGGTGCAGCTGTAAAGGCTACGGCCAACAGTATTACAATAACTCGCAAAGAAGTCGCTGGAATAGCAAGAAAGTTCTTTATATTGGTTAAGATCGAAGGCTACGTACAGCAACTGATAAATAATGGTTAGATGATATGACAATCTGCAGGATCCACGTGTGTAATGTTTATCTTTTTAAATTAAACTATAGTACAGTAGTAAATAACAATGTAAATGACGCGTGCGGGCTGTAATCTGTAGTGAGCATGAGGCACGGGATACCAGCGTTGCGGCGTGCGGTGCCAGAGGGTCAAGTCAATTGAAGTCGAGCTGCATCCGGTATGGCGACTGGCGCGTACGCAGTACACACCACGTGTAGAATACTAATTACATTAATAAATAAATTAATTGCGTGTTACATTTTTAATTCTATTGAGATCAATGTAAAGTACTCAAATCTTATTTCGGGAGATGAATTAATTTACATAGAATTGATAAGTTTAGTACCTACACAGTAATTAAATAATACGCATTAGTAGTAATAAAATGACACCTCTAATATACCCATTATAACTATTACTTTGTATTGTTAAATGTTCTATCGTATTTAGCCAAAACCGGATTTCTTTATGACGTAATAGTATTATGATGAGAATGATTCTAATTCGAACGATCGTAGCACACGTAGAATTGCACTTAAAATTAATGAATATCTTTTCAACAAGTAACATACCGTTGTAAACAGAACAATGTTACCCACGTGCATTAACAACTTATATACGAGTATATCAAGCAAACACGTGATGTAAAACAAGGATGTTTTGTTACAACTTGCGATTGCATACACTCAATATCGACATAATCGAAGATCAGGCCAAAGTTCTAAGGCTGTCTGTTTAAGATAGGTTGTTATTCTTATGAACTTAAATTAACAATATCAGTCACTTTTTAGCCAGGAATTTAAAATTAGTAGTTACAAAAACTAGCATTTTCCTGGATTTACTTTATCGATGGAGACTTCACACAAATTTGTCTGCATAGGTATCTCTGTCTCTCCTATTTGGACCAATAAGCTACTTAGTTTCTAAAATGTATTCTGGAGGTGAATAAAATACAAGTGACATTTAAGGGAATATTACTTCTTAATTCTCATGAAATATAACCCAAGAGGACCACGAAGGTTGATTGATTTTTATACGTCCGTGATGCTGTCCAGCGAATTTGACTCTCTATTAGATGGACCTCCAGCTTGTTTTCATTTCTAATTACATAAAACTATGTTGCTACATTTATCTGAAAAATTGCTCAAGTCTTAATTGGTAACACTATACGTGATGTCATATACATATGTGTTCTTATTCTTATAGCTGCGCTTGAAAGTAGGCGCTATTACGTTTTGATTGCAAATTTAGTATGACATAAGGACTTGATTTATGCAATATTAACATAGAAAAATTTTGGGTCTTATAAATTTATTTTATACTAGTAGCTGTTCCCGCTACTACGTCTGTGTGGAATTTAATTTTAATTTTCAAAAATAAAAGTAGCCTAAGTTACACCTTGTTACATCAGCTACCTGCCAAGAAAAATCCCATAAAAAGCGGTCCAGCCATTTCAGAGATTAAGTGGAACAAACAGACAGACAAACAAAAATTGTAAAAAATGCTATTTTGATGTATGTACAGTATTTATATTCATATGCATGAAGTAAAAAACGATTATATCAATACTACAAACAGATAATCCAATTTAGATTAAATAGTTTTGTTAGTGCGATTTAAATAAAATAGAAACAAAAAAGTAAAATAGGAATAAATGCTCGATGTAAATCCGATAAAAATTACCTTCATATGTCATTGGAGTGTTTTTCACGATTTCTTAAATCTAGTTAGTGACATCTTATGATGTTTCCTTATTTGATAAATATTTCACATCAACAACTTACGAATAAGTAAGAGAATAATATTATTTTTTATTCATAGACCATTACAAACCAAATAGTAACTACAGTATAGTTATGTATAGATTTACAATACGAAACATTATTGTTACGAGTTACCTTTATTATTCCACCTAAAATGCAGCACGTCTGTCAAACGAGGCTATAGGTATAGGTGTATAATATTATCTCTTGTTTAGTTTAGATAAAGATAAAAAAACAACCTGTGGCGACAAGCGGCCACCAATGACTCTTCTATCTGTGACTAAACAAGATAATAAAATTATCAACGAATTGCTTGAAACATACCTTGTGGTAGCACTTTACATACATATACTTTATATAGTCAATTCAGAGATTCCAGGCAATAACGATAATTAGAAAATATTTCTTTTTATTTTGATCAAACCAGATCATCTAAATGTAAAACAACAAGTTGGAAATGGGATCGACAGACAAGGTCATCTGCTAAGTCGAGTGTTTGATCAATGCACGTCGAGGCGACTGGCGTAATGCGTTGTATAAAGACACTTTCTGCTCTACCTACTGCGATTACATCCAGCGCGTATTACTTGCTTTGCCACACTCTGCACGCTTTCACCTTTATAAGCCCAAATAAATCTATTGGAACAATATGTTTTAAAAAGTAAAAGGCAAAAATGTTATTACTTACTATTAAAATTGATAAACTAGTAAATAGGAAAGCGCATATAATAGAGAATATAATAATTGCTTTAAATATATTACGATAAAGAATCAATTTGCAAAACTTATTGCCATTAAAAAAATACTTAAATAATAATCTTAATATAACTTGTTACGTTATTATAATACTAAAGCGGTAAATCTGCGAATAAATGGTAAAACCAAATATTACTCGTTGATTTATTGTAAGATAAATATTTAAAATTTGATGCATGGACAATCAATATGAATGATTAAGACGTGAGTCATTGTAACCACGAGAATACAACGATAACATTAAAAAGACTTCAAGAATTACACATCAGTTTTGTTTATGTAGACTTTTCTTATCGAGTAATTTTGAATAAGCAGTGAGTATCCTACTCACCACATGTACACTGCTGTGAACACCACTGAGGGCCGGCAAGTCAGGTTTGCGATCGCTCTTCTTCGCTTGCCGCTTCGCTTTACCCTCCAGAAAACGTTTCTGCAATGCGCTTGTTTCCAAATTCTGTTGTTCGCATGCACCGGTAAAGGACTGGTCAAATCTGGGCACGCACTCTGATTGCCTCCTTCTATACGTTTCAATTCTGCGTCTGTAACAATGCGTAAAATATTTCATTCTGTGTCTAGCTCTTACAATGATGATGTGCAGCAATGCAATCATAATATAGAAACTATACTCGGTATAACATAGTAATACATGGCAATATAAAACAAGCCGAAGACAGGTAGATACAACAAACAATGTTTCGACCAATGTTCAGTCAGCCGCAACACCCGAGCGCGGTCACCTTGAGCAAATGTTAATGCGAACACTGTCTACTACATAAAAAAAATCATTACTACAGCTTTTCATTTATTCAAGAGTATCGTTCACAGGCGATGAAATAGTCAAGGTTACCGACAAGTGTACTTAGAATACATCAATGCACCATTTTGTAACTGCACATAAATAAATTAGTTATTATTATACGTACTCATAATTAACACTATAAGCAATAATGGATATCTGAAAATAAAGGAACACTGAGACCTACTAAAGTAAATAGAAAGAAAGGAAAGTTTTAAGAGAAATAGGTCACATATATAATGTATGTAACAACTTTTTGTACAACTAGGATGGCAATTATGGATATGGTCTACGTGATGGTGAGCGGTCAACGCAGCCCATGAACGCTTGCAACATCATCAGTCATACGTTACCGATCCTTGTGACAAGGTCTTAAGTCATAGTAATTTTATTACCAACTCGCCTTTCAAACCAGAAAACAGTATACAAGCAAACTGAATATTTATCCACTCACTCTGGTTCCATACAAACATTAAAATAAGGATTTCTATACAAAAATCTATATTAATAATATTAAAAGTTATTTCATTCTTCCGAATGCTACATAGTAAATGATGTTGTTCATAAACAATGTTGTCTATTTTAATGATGTAAATGACAATTAACTACGTTCGTCTCCTATCTGCAGAATTTCCGCTTGACAAAGCCGATAATACAATGGAATAATTCGCAACACACATATTTGCTTTGATGAGGATATAAATTAGCCAATTAATGATGATATAACTCAGCTACGTCAACCAAATTTCGTAATTATTTGACTGCTTAAACGTAATGGGATAGAAGAACATGAGATACAAAATTATGCAGCTCAGCAAATGCAATTGAATTCACCTATATACATAACAATTACTTTGTTGTTATAGCAGCACTTAGGTAACGAAATCGGTATGGTATACTAACTACTATTACATAATACACTGCACATACCAGAAGCATACGAATTACGAGCATCAATCGGCATTCCGATATAGTTATATCAGTGTAGACGTACATATCTATTGTTATCTACATAATATAATATATACAATCTGCCACTAACATGCCATATGATTCAACTACATACATAATAATATGTAAGTACAGTCAGTCGTCAAGTTGTTAGGTGAGTGAATGGTCAATATGTTGTGTTCAAAATCTACCCTGTAGTTTCCCGAACATGTTGAGATAAAGATTAAATTTTATCTTAGCATTGCAATTAAAGTTATCAAAATATTGTAAACAACTAGTCCAAATTAGTCGTAAACGGATATTTCAATATACAACATTTTATTTCAATCTAGATGGTACGACCTATAGTGTACATCTTTTAAATAATTATCAGTATGTGTTTGGATTGTGTATGTATCCACGCAACGCCATTATACTTAGTTCCTTGTGGTTACTTTCTTTAGAAGTGCAAGTGCAATGGTACTTAATACAAGTGCGACACTCAGCCCGCACAGCCTACGCTATCCAATATAATTATGCGCTACCTTAGCTCTGTGGACAGTCTATAGTCCACTTTCACCATAGCAGACAGTAAGAGTATAAATACATTAATTACAGTGATATTGATACAAGACTTAAACATGAAAGCACTTGCTGTCGACTAATTACAACTACGCTGTTCTAATTCTTAGATATTGAAAATTCTTGGAAGGATTAAGATGTTAATGGATATGAATAAAATATGTTGTTTTAATTGAAATATTTAGATAAATGGTTGTCCTGGAAAGTGTAAATAATCCTTATTGACAATAAATTGACCAGACCGTGCAGTTGTACAGTAATCTTTTCATTATTAGCTGATTACCTGTTCATAAAACGCTAATGAACAGAAGTGATTTTATATTTTATTATTACTGTGAGTAGTTACTACTACAGTATTACATATACATATGCCTCAATAAGAGCCGTGCAAGGCACTGTAAAATTTTCTTAAGCGAGAGTATATAAGAAGCGAGGTATATTAAACATTGAAAACTAATATCTAATAATTATAAAATAAAGAAAATATCAAATTTACTAAATCATCAAATGAAAAATATACTACATTCCCTTGTGGAACGAAACGCAATATTAAGAACAAAATTAAATGTTATGTATGTTCCATACAAGGGTACATCGATACATTTTGACCTTACGTTGAAAGTGAGGGTCGAGGTGTACATAATAAATAATGAATAAATTTCTCAACAGCATAATTCAAAATCCAATTTAACGAAGAAACATTTGTGCTATTATCAAATAGCGAAAAATATTTCCAACTTCATATGATTTAACTTTAAAATTCTTTTGTTAACACTTGGTCTACTATCTACTAGCTTAAATGTAAGACAATCTTAATTTATTTAATTATCATTCAATATTACTTTTATCTTAAAATACATTTTATTCTGTCTGTATAATCATTGATTTTCCTATATTAAAAATTATATAAAATAAAAAAATACAAATAAAGAATTTGTAAAAGCAAATTAATACGATAAACTATAAATAGTTCGCCCCCTACAAATATAACGTATATTCTAATGTGTTACGGTTCATACAGCCAAGTCAAGTGTTACGGTTCAACATAACGGCAAATCATATAATTTCAGTATTCTATTTAGTTCCTGATTAAAATGGCTCTTATTAATTTGACTTCTGGTTTATAACAAATCGTAACCTATAACTGTAACTGTAACTGGACGGTAGGGAAAAATAAAATTATAATGTAAAAATTTGACGTTCATAAGCGGCTAAAATGTCTAAATGCTAGAATATATATTATTTAGATATTTAAATATAAAACTCAACTCGCCTTATGGCAGGACGACTTATCTTTTGCGTTAAATATTCATGATGTCACCGATCATTGTTTTCTGGGCTTTTACCGTTGTAAATCCTGCAATCACTGTGGTGAGAATGTATGGCGGAATTATCCCTATGTCTAATGTGCCTACATAGATATTCATTAATTTAAATAAAGCACAATACTTCACTCGATATGTCTTATTGAAGACTTTAAATTATGTTATCTAGTGTTTTCGGTCATTGATCACGACCTAACGTACAAAACATACGACCTAATTCAAATCCGGGTAAATCCAAACGGATCTGCACCACAATCTTGTTTTTTTTGTTTTAAAGTCGTTTCTTGTTATTTAAGTATTTAGTTTGAATTCCTGAACTATTAGCTTTTTGGGTGTTTACCTCACTTACTAATGTTTAGATCCTAGTAATATTATAAAAGAGGTTTGTTAGGATATAAGGAGGATATATATAAGATCTAGATGCTTAGATGTTTTTTTATGGAGGATTATAGTAAAATGGTGCACTCATCTGCACCGACGTTTTATCCTGGCGGGACATCAGTAGTGCTGTGGTAGACATTATAGGATGTGTATGAGGTCTGGTCAGTTAGCCAGTTAATTCACTAGTAATTATAACAATGGTTTCCAGGGGGAGCCGCGTGGAGTTCAACCTGATATGGGTGTGTGGTTAATAGTTAGCAGCCCAGAGGAAAGCCTCGCCGGCAGTTTAATGATGTGATACTGCCTACTGATTAAACATCAGCAAATAGAAACCTTACAAATTTTTGTGATAATTTACATTTCATGAAACTAAAAAAATCTATACTCTGACATGTATAGGGTCAAGACTCTAAGAAATTTAGCTATGTGCGGCCACGCTGAGCAAACATTCACTGCACAAGGACAGTTTCCGGCATATTTTCATCCTGAAATTTTGTTTATTTATTATACACAGTACGCTCTCCTTTAATCGAATTAATATAAGCAGAAAAATATTTAACCTGATTTTGATTAATATTTGCAATCGATAAATTGCATCTAGGTACATACATAATCTGTATCCCTACATTTTAACCACGTTAATTATAATAATCATGTTCTATTATATTATATTAATAGAAGATACGGTCAATCTGTGCCTACATTCAAATCAAATCCAAAATACAGTTACGCTAGTTAACAAACACACATTAGTTAGCTATCCATTATATAGATATCATAACAAATTGTAGCACGCGGCTTTATAAGCTTATTATAGTAGGATAAATTTAAGTAAAATATCTAACACACTTTCAAAAAAATTATGTTCATAAAATAACCACAAGTAATGTTGAAAACCATTGTGTAAATATGCTTGTAAGGAATTTTTCATTGATATATAAAGTGAAGCACGGATATGGATCCGTGCTTCACTTTAACTATAATTACATTAACATACAAGTATAGAAATGTACCTTCTGTTCTGTAACTACGTATGTGTGTAAAGACTACTCATAATACACGAATAAAAGAAACTTGTTTTATAGACTACGATACTCTAAGTAAACACCTGTTAAATAATTGATACTTACTAAGTAAATAAAATATTTGTTTATAATATGTAAAAAATGTTTACAAATTGGTAAACTAATTGAGGTAAATTAATTATAATCATATCCCTGGCCCCGTTTAATCATGACACTTCATTCCGTTTAAATATAATTATTTTAGCTCTACACATACACAATTTATTAGCATACAAGTAAAAATTGTGTACATATACCCCGTACGTCTAGAATATTACAAGTTAGCACGTGACGATGAGCACATAACTTTAACAAACGTGATGACGACTGCTGACACAAGTAAGGTTAAAGACAACGACATAATATATTACTGTCTGTTATAAATCTGCCAGAAAAAAGATTTAAATGTCAAATAAAACAGTTCCTTTGCAAAAAAGCTTACTATAAAATTGAAGAAGTCG